TTAAGGCCTCCTCATTCCCATACCAAGCAGCCTCCATAAAAGCTGTGAAACCATTGTCATCATACTCATTGATTTCTGATCCCTTAGACAGGAAGAGCTCTAAAAGTCTCACATTTCCCACTATCCCTGCTACAAGAAAGGGAGTGGCACCGTTTTTCTTCCTAGCACACGGATCAGCACCCTTCTCCAGCAGAAGATCAACGATCTCTTCCTGATCACCCCGTACAGCGCTGTGCAGAGGTGTCCAACCACCTTCTACCTTGGAATTAACATCTGCTCCTTCCTCCAACAGCTGCCGGACTGTCTCTAGTGAATGGTTTTGGACAGCATAGTTTAGCAGAGAGGGTTTGTCTGCTGCTGTTTCATTTCTGGAGGTCAATATCTCCTCCTGGCTGTTACCAGTGGCCTCCATGACTGTTAAGATAAGTGGCTGTGCTCTTGTTCTGTGTCCCTTTCAAATGGAGATTCTTCAATAGAATGTACTTCCTGGGCTCTCCTTTAAGATGGAAGGCACGGATTGGTCAGTCCTTTGTTGTCGGCACATGAATGGAGTTTTGCTCATGAAGTACACCAGCACTATCCGGCTCCAAGGGCTCCATGCTTCACATATTCCACCTTATTAGCAAAGAGAGAAAACAAACCTATTTATTGACTCTTAAGACTTTACAATTGTGCTTGATAGGCGATAGCTAAAGCTACATTTTAGTCATGGGTATTTTTAGTAAAAGTCATGGGCAGACCATGGGCAGTAAACAAAAATTCACGTCCCGTGACCTGTGCATGATTTGTACAATACCCTTGACTAAATCTTGGGAGTGATGCGGGTGCTCATGAGGGGGTTGCAGCTGCTCGTGAGGCGGACGTCCCGGGGGGCACAGCAGGTGCTGGAGTGGGGGGCTGTGGAGGCTCAGGGGAGCAGCAGGTGCTCGGGGGTGGCCCGGCAGGTGCAGCGGATGCATGGGGAGGGCCTGCAGGTGCTTGGTGGGGCTGGGGGCGCACTATGGGTGCTGGAGGGTGGCACGGGAGGGCGCCGCAAGTGCTCGGGTGAGAGCAGCCCGGGACCCCCACTGGTGCTGGGGGGCTGAGAGGGGTTGGCAGGACTGGCAGTCTCCCTACCTGGCTTCTCGGAAGCAGCGACATGTCCCTTCCCAAGCTCCTAGTTCCGAGCGCTGCCAGCTCCGCAGCTCCGATTGGCCGGGAACCACAGCCAATGGGAACTGCGGGGGTGGTGCCTGCGAGCAGAGGCAACACACTGAGCTAGGAGTTGAGGGAGGGACACGTTACTGCTTCTTGGGAGCCTCCCCCCCCCCCCCGAAGGAAAATGCTGTCCAGAGCCCTCACCCCCTCCCGTGCCCAACCCCCAGCCCCCAGCCCTGAGGCCCACCTCCTCCATCCAAACTCCTCCTGTTGCTACTGGGTGGGGAGAGGCGGTGGCCTGAGACTGCCCCAGCAGCAGCCATTGCAATGGGCCCAAGGGCTGCCTGACCAGGAGCCAGTTGCACCGGCCACTGCAGAAGTCACGGAGGTCATGGAAAGTCACGTAGCTGTGACTTCCGTGACAAACTTGCAGCTTTAGTGATAGTCTATTGATCTGTAAGAGACAGGACGGTGAAGGTTACACCACATGGTTTTCAGAGCCACAAGTGATTGTGTGGGGGGGGGGAGGGAAAGGGGGATTATATCAGTTTTCCTCTGGGTCCACATGCAACAGCCCCTGCTAATTTGGTTCTGAGTTTCTTATCAGTACAGATTGACAATCATAATGAAATGGTAGGGGTGGGAAAAGTGGTTTGTACCTTTAAGCAAGTGCACGGTACTTTTGGGTGTGCTTATCAGTGGGGAGAAGACACCCCAGGAAGGGTGTTTGTAATCTGATTTACTCTGTCATTAGATATTGTTGAGGGTACTTGGGTTATATAAATATGGCTGTGTATTCTGCAATTCTGAAGCTGCTTGAGTTCCTACAGAATTACTCTCTGTACAGAAGAGTGCAGGAGATTCCAATCTTTTAATTTTCAAAAAACATGACTCTGTCATCATGACTGTGAAGATAACCTTTCGAATATGATCTGAACAGAAGCTGATCTTAACTGAATGTTGACTCTGGAACATAATGAGGAAATGTAATTATTCACTGCCAGTAAGTGTATTAGAAAGATCCAGCTACTGTGCTTCTCTTAACTTTTACGTTTTCCAGATGCTGTTGCAGAAGTTTCAGTTCACTACAGAAGTTAGCACTATAGTGCCACAGAAACCATGGGTCTTGCTGTGAAATTTAGGTTAAACTTGCTGCACAATACACATGACCTTCATTATATGTACCAAACACTTAATGCATCACTTGCCCCATAACCTCAGCCGTGCAGAACACAACGTCATCCACAGCCTCAGAAACAACTCTGACATTATAATAAAAAAAGCTGACAAAGGAGGTGCTGTAGTCATCATGAATAGGTCAGAGTATGACCAAGAGGCTGTTAGGCAACTCTCTGACACCACATTCTACAGGCCATTATCCTCTGATCCCACTGAGGGTTACCAAAAGAAACTGCACCATCTGCTCAGGAAACTCCCTGAAGAAGCACAAGAACAAATCCACACAGACACACCCCTAGAGCCCCAACCAGGGCTATTCTATCTGCTACCCAAGATCCATAAACCTGAAAATCCTGGACGTCCTATCATCTCAGGCATTGGCACCCTGACAGCAGGATTGTCTGGCTATGTAGACTCTCTCCTCAGGCCCAATGCTACCAGCACTCCCAGCTATCTTTGAGACACCACTGACTTCCTGAGGAAACTACAATCCATTGGTGATCTTCCAGAAAACACCATCCTGGCCACTATGGATGTAGAAGCCCTCTACACCAACATTCCACACAAAGATGGACTACAAGCCATCAGGAACAGTATTCCCGATAATGTCACGGCAAACCTAGTGGCTGAGCTTTGTGACTTTGGGTACGTCTTCACTACCCGCCGTATCGGCGGGTAGCAATCGATTTATCCGGGATCGATATATCGCATCTCGTTAAGAAGCGATATATCGATCCCCGAACGCGCTCACCATCGACTCCGGAACTCCACCAGAGTGAGCGGCGGTAGCGCAGTCGATGGGGGAGCCGCAGTCATCGATCCCGCGTTGTGTGGACCCCAGGTAATTCAATCTAAGATACTTCGACTTCAGCTACGCTATTCGCGTAGCTGAAGTTGTGTATCTTAGATCGATCCCCCCCCAGTGTAGACCAGCCCTTTGTCCTTACCCACAACCATTTCAGATTTGGGGACAACATATACCTTCGAGTCAGCGGCACTGCTATGGGTACCCACATGGTCCCACAGTATGCCAACATTTTTATGGCTGACTTAGAACAACGCTTCCTCAGCTCTTGTCCGCTAACGCCCCTACTCTACTTGCGTTACATTGACGACATCTTCATCATCTGGACCCATGGAAAAGAAGCCCTTGAGGAATTCCACCAGGATTTCAACAATTTCCACCCCACCAGCAACCTCAGCCTGGACCAGTCCACACAAGAGATCCACTTCCTGGACACTACAATGCAAATAAGCCATGGTCACATAAACACCACCCTATACCGGAAACCTACTGACCACTATACTTACCTACATGTTTCCAGCTTTCATCCAGACCACATCACAGGATCCATTGTCTACAGCCAAGCCCTAAGATACAACCACATTTGCTCCAATCCTTCAGAAAGAGACAAACACCTACAGGATCTCTATCAAGCATTCTTAAAACTACAATACCCACCTAGGGAAGTGAAGAAACAGATTGACAGAGCCAGAAGGGTACCCAAAAGTCACCTACTACGCCCAACAAAGAAAGTAACAGAACGCCACCAGCCATCAACTACAGCCCCCAGCTAAACCCTCTCCAGCGCATCAAGAATCTACAACCTATCCTGAAGGACGATCCCTCACTCTCACAGACCTTGGGAGACAGGCCAGTCCTTGCTTACAGACAGCCCCCCAACCTGAAGCAAATATTCACCAGCAACTACACACCACACAACAGAAACACTAACCCAGGAACAAATCCCTGCAACAAACCCCATTGCCAACTCTGTCTGCATATCTATTCAAGGGACACCATCTTAGGACCTAACCACATCAGCCACACCATCAGGGGCTCGTTCACCTGCACATCTACCAATGTGATATATGCCATCATGTGCCAGCAATGCCCCTCTGCCAGACAGTCTCTACGCAAAAAAATAAATAGACACAAATCAGACATCAAGAACTGTAACATTCAAAAACCAGTAGGAGGGCACTTCAATCTCCCTGGACACTCAATAACAGACTTAAAAGTGGCCATTCTTCAACAACAAAAAACCCTTTGAAAACAGACTCCAACTTGAAACTGCAGAGCTGAAATTAATTTGCTAAATAAAGACTTGGAGTGGCTGTAATTTTCCCTCTGTTGATATTCACCCCTTCTTGTCAACTGTTGGGAATAAGACACTTCTACCCTGATTGAATTGGCCTCGTTAGCACTGACACCCCCCCACCCCGCCACTTGGTAAGGCAACTCCTGTCTTTTCATGTGGTGTAATATATATACTACACCCGCCTACAGTATTTTTCACTCCATGCATCTGATGAAGTGGGTTTTAGCCCACGAAAGCTTATGCCCAAATACATTTGTTAGTTTCTAAGGTGCCACAAGGACTCCTCATTGTTTTTGCTGATACAGACTAACACGGCTACCCCTCTGAAACCTGATGCTTCCTGTTCTTTGTTGGAGAATATAAGTATACGCATATCTATTACCCCATTAAGTTTTGGACAGGTGGCTATGCCCTTAGCCCTGTGAAGAGACCAATCAGAAAGTAGTATTAGACAAAAAGTTCCACCTTACCCCTGCTCCCTCTCTGCCCAGTGAGAAGTCCATATTTGTCTGTTAGACTTTCTGGACCCTTTCATCATTTTTTGGGGTCAATCAGGAAGGAATTCAGGGTCTGGAGGCACACCTATCACTGACAGGCCGTTATCAGAAAGTCTTTAAGAATAGTGGGTACATTTAAGACTTTTTTCCCCCCAGATATAAAATGGGCCATTAGTTAAAATTTAGTCATATCATAATCAAATGCGAGTAAGGGCTCACAGCATTATATAATGTGAGGAGGGGAAATGGGACAATATGAAATTAAAAAGGTCTCTAATGAATATTCTCCAGGATCAAAGGGTATTTTATTCCAGTTAAGGTTTGTTGTTGTTCTGTCTTATGAAGGAAAAGAAACTGAGTTACAAAAGTAATAACTTCTTTTCCCCTTTAAAGAAAGGTTATAGGCGTTACAGAACAATAAAATTTAGCCTAACTGTCAAAGGTGACAGTTGTTAAAGACATTTACCAAGGACTAGCTCCTTCTGGGCTCGCTTGTTTGTGGGTCTGACAGAAAAGAATTCTTTTAAAGGGAAACTGGCAGAGAAGCTGCAAAGTCTTACAGGAAAGGTTTAATTCACATAAGCTTGATTATCTTCTGAGAAATGAATCAAGTCACTTATCACAGTTTTTGTTAAAGTTTTTAAAATTTTAAAAAGCAATGTAAAAGTTGCTTACGTATGTTTGAGTAACTTCACAATGCTTATTTTCTACATCTTTGGAGACATACAGTAAAAATAAAAGGCTCTTCTCCAAGCCATCAAAAAAGCTACAGCCTTGTTAGGGGAACTATTACCAAGAGTCTTAACATATAAAGAGGGGGGAAAACAAGAGTCTTGAAAAAGGGTAGAACAAAGATTCAGAAGTTTACTTATTGAGCACTGGCACAGTCCTACTGACAACATGCTTCTATGATACTGTCTATTCTGCCCTCTTTTCCTGATTCATGTCATAGAGGGCAGGTGTTTGTGGGAGTTAGCTAACATGCTGCTTTTTCAGGCAGTGCTGCCACACGCTCTCGGAATGAGGGAAAGGGTTACTACATTTAGAAAGTCCAGTGCTTACAGCCAAGAGGATGCATGCATGGATGGATGGATAGATGTTGAAATATGGTAGAGGATGGCTCCCAGCATAATTCATCGGCCCTGCTAAGGGGTGGACTGCAGGAATTTTTAACCCTTGATTTCAGTGGCAGTTAGGGAAGTAGAGCTCAGGAACGCTGGCTTTCAGTAACTTTTCCCAGGGGACCAGGGAGTGTTCCCTCCAAGCACACAGGAGCACACTAGGAAGCATGTGTCTCCGTCCTGGAGAGTCGCTCCCTCCTGGATCTCCTCCAGGCGCAGTGCAGGCTCACAATACACACAGTGACTGCGGATGGAAAGCGAGTCAGTCTCCCCTGAGCTTTGAGGCCTGTTGGCTTGGGCTCGCACAATGCAGACTCCAGACCCGGCCAGTTTGGCTCCGCTTGCTTGCGTGACAAAGGGGGAGGGAGAGACAGCGGCTCATCTGACCAGAAGGGCTGATAAGCAAAGCTCTTTACCTGCTGCTGTGAAGAGAGTCTGCTCATGCCTTAGTTGTCGACTTTGCCACTCCACCTTTAGTCTCAGGCCACTGCTGAAGATTTGGAAGGAAGTTGCATTTGCATTCTGGGGAAGGAAGAGGGAGGTGAGTTTGGCAGTGCACTTTCACTTATCGCCCGAAACGTAGCCTAACTAGCTGCTTTGGAAAGCAGGATCCATGTCTCCCAGATTTAATAATTCCCTTGGTTTGCAGCCTATGTCTACACTATTGCGGTAAGTCGACCTATGCTGTGCAACTCTAGCTATGTGAATAACATAGCTGAAGTTGACGTACCTTAGGTCAAGTTACCGCGGGGTCTACACCGCAGGGGGTCGACAGGAGCAAATCTTACTCTTCTTGTTGGGGATAGAGTACAGGGATCAAATGGAGAGCGATATGCACTCGGTTTGGTGGGTCTTTACTAGACCTGCTAAATCGACCACTAGTGGATCGATCTCAGAGTGTCGATCCCAGCTCTAGTGTAATCCCCTTCCCATCTCTCCCTGCCCTGCAATATCCACTCCTCCCCTCCCCTGCATTATTTCTTGCATTTTTATCCTGCTCCCAGCCACACAAAAAACTTGGATCCTGCAAATCCCGCAAGAGAGGCAGATTTCCCCATGCCACTAAAAACAAACAACAAACAAACAGACAAACAAAAAAGGTTGGTTGACATATATAAATGGAAATTCAGACACAATTTTTACCATTAAACGAGTAAAATAAATCTTGCTTAAACCATGTAAAAATTACTTTAACTCCTGTTATAATAGACGTCACATCTCTTTATATTCTTTGCTTAAATTTAAGTATAAAAACTTTTATTTAATAAAAAAGAAAAACTTGCTTTACATTGCTGAACTTCTATTTATGACAAACTGCTGTCATGTGTATATCACAGGGAACGTCAAAACAAATTGCACCATAGTTTTTCTTTAAAAGGTGCAGATTTTTTTTTAATGATTCTAAAAAGTAGTTGTTTTAAAAAGCTGGAATTTTTTAAATCGCTTAAGCACCGTTTTTAGAACTTTGAAACATACCATTCAAGTTATTTATATGTCAGGATTAATGTTGGTTTCTGAAAAACATTTAATGGAAAAATTGCTCACAGCACTAGGTTTTTGACATAAATTGTAAAAAGAGGCAGTAAATTGTAAAACTTATACAGGGTAAACTCATAAATTGTCCACCCTCTATAACACTGATAGAGAGATATGCAGAGCTGTTTGCTCCCCCAGGTATTAATCACTTACTCTAGGTTAATTAATAAACAAAAGTCATTTCATTAAGTATAAAAAATAGGATTTAAGTGGTTTCAAGTAATAACAGACAGAACAAAGTAAGTTACCAAGCAAAATAAAGCAAAACCACGCAAGTCTAAGCCTAATATATTAAGAAACTGATTACAGGTAAAATCTCACCCTCAGAGATGTTCCAATAAGCTTCTTTCACAAACTAGACTCCTTCCTAGTCTGGGCCGAATCCTTTCCCCAGTACAGTCCTTGTTAGTTCTAGCTCAGGTAGTAACTACGGGTTCTCTCATGACTGGCAGCCCCCTTTGTTCTGTTCCACCCCCTTTTATAGGTTTGGCACAAGGCAGGAATCTTGTGTCTCTCTGGTCCTCAATCCTCCTTCTAAATGGAAAAGTATCAGATTTAAGATGGATCCCAATATCATGTGACATGGTCACATGTCACTCTAAGACCTCATTCTTCATTACCCACGGGCTGACCTACACGTCCACAGGAAGGCTTGCAGGTAAATAAACCATCTACAACCAATTGTCCTAGTCAATGAGAGCCATCAAGATTCTAAACCACCATCAATGGCCCACACTTTGCATAGTTACAATAGGACCTTAGAGCTATACTTTATATTTCTAGCTTCAGATACAAGATACATGCATACAAATAGGATGAACACACTCAGTAGATTATAGGCTTTGTAATGATACCTTACAAGAGACCTTTTGCATAAAGCATATTCCAGTTATGTAATATTCACACTTATAAGCAGATTTCCATAAAACATATGGTGTGCAATGTCACAGATGAATCATGGGGACGGGACGGGGAGAGCGTGGGGGCAATGGACTGGGAGCGGGGCAGGGAGGAGTTACATGGAAGGTCACATGGGGAGGTCATGTGTCCCCTCTTAGCTGGTGCCCCCCCTCCCGTACTGGTAAAAAATGGATTCTACTTGCACCTCTGCTAACCCTAGCTCTGAGAGCACCACCTCGGGAACCCAATCCCTATCCCAACACGTCCTACCGTTTGGAACCCTAGTTTGGCGAGTGGTATTCTCTGGAACAATACCCTTGTGCACAGATCCCTAATCTCTCGAAACATATTCTGTTCTGACATGTCCTACCATTTGAAATCATAACCCTACCCAGGGGAGCCCAAACCACTGGAACCCTAACCCTACCCTGAGAAATCGTACCATTTGCAACCTACCCCTAGCCCAGGGAGCCCTATCCACTAGAACCCTAGCCCAGGGAGGCCTACTGATAGGAACCCGAACCTAGCTCCAAGTATCCCACCCATAGGAGCCCTACCCATTGCAACCGTAACCCTAGCCCCATTTATTCTATCCATAGGAACCCTAACCCTAGGGCAGTGGTTTTCAAACTGTGGGTTACGACCCAGTACTGGGTGGCAGAATGTAAGGCAATGGGTTGCGGCGGCTCTGGTCAGCACTGCCAACCAGGCCGTTAAAAGTCCCGTCAGCGGTACTGCCGGCTAAGGCAGGCTAGTCCCTACCTGTTTGACACCACACTGCACCCCAGAAGTGGCCAGAAGCAGATCTGGCTCCTAGGTGGTGGGGGCTATGGGGCTCCGTGCACTGCCCCTACCCCGAGCACTGGCTCAGCCAATGGGACCTGGAGGGGCAATGCCTGCACACGAGAGCCACTTGCGCGCCTCAACCTAGGAGCTGCACCTGCTGCTGACCGCTTTCAGGGTGCAGCGGGGTCCGCGGTGCTGGGACAGGCAGGAAACCTGTCTTAGCACCCCTGCTGCACCACTGACTGGCAGCTGCCCAAGGTAAGCCCGTGCTCCAACCCCAAGCCCCAAGCCCCTACCCCAGCCCTGAGCCCCCCCAAACCAAGAGCCCCCTCCTGCACCGCAAACCCCTCATCCCCAGCCCCACCCCAGAGCCTGCACTCCCAGCCCAGAGCCCCTGACCCCCTCCCACACCCCAACCTCCTGCCCCCAGCCCCTGAGCCCCTCCCACACCCCAAACCCCTCATCCCCAGCTCCGTTGGGTCATGGGCATCAACAATTTTCTTCAACTGAATCGCCAGAAAAAAAGTTTGAAAACCACTGCCCTAGGGCAGGGGGCCCTACCCACAGGAAACCTAACCCTGGGGGGAAAGCCCTACCCATAGGAACCCTAACCCTGGGGGAGTAGGGAGCCCTACCCAATGCACAGTCAACCTGTGGAACTCCTTGCCAGAGAATGTTGGAAGGCCAAGACTATAACAGGGTTCAAAAAAAGAACTAGATAAATTCATGGAGGATAAGTCCATCAATGGCTTTCAGCCAGGATGGGCAGCGATGGGGTCCCTAGCCTCTATTTGTCAGAAGCTGGGAATGGGCGACAGGGGATGGATCACTTGATGATTGCCGGTTCTGTTCTGTTCATTCCCTCTGGGGCACCTGCCATTGGCCACTGTCAAAAGACAGGATACTGGGCTAGATGGACCTTTGGTCTGACCCAGTATGGCCATTCTTGTGTTCTTAGAAACCCTAACCCATAGGAATCCTAACCCTGGGGGCGGAGAAGAGACCTACCCATAGGAAACCTAACCTTAGGGCAGGGAGCCCCACCCATCAAAACTGTAACCATAGCTTCATTTACCCTAACCATAGGAACCCAAATCCTGGGAGAAGGGGAGCCCTACCCAATAAAACCCTAACTCGGGGGGTGGCGGGGAGGGGGAGTCCTACCCATAGCAACCCAAACCCTAGCTCCAAGTACCATACCTCTAGGAACTCTAACCCTCGGGCAACGAGTCAATAGGAACCCTAACCCTTGGAGGGGAGCCCTACCCATAAGAACCCTAACACTAGGGCAGGGAGCATTACCCATAGCAACTGTAACCCTAGCTCCCTTGACCTTACCCATAGAAACACTAAGTCTAGGGTGGGGAGCCATACCCACAGGAACCCTAACCCTAACTCCAAGTAACCTAATCTTAGCCACCAAAACCATAGCTCCAAGTACCCTACCAGAGCCACACAAAACCTAGCTCTAAGGACCCTACCCATAGCCACCCACAACCTAGCTCCAAGTACCCTACCATAGCCATGTAACCCTAGCTCCATTTACCCGACCCACAGGAATCCTTCCCCTAGGGATGGGAGCCCTACCCTCAGCAATCCAAACCCTAGCTCCAAGTACCCTACCCTGTAGCCCAGTGGGCTAGATTGCATTTATTATATTCACTGCTTTGCATTATATTCTGCTTTGCACTATATCCAGCAGTAAGGCAAGAAACCTACAGGCCTGTATCCTGTAAGAGATTAGCTTCAGCAAGTTAGCATAAGGCTTTAGGCCTATGAGCTTTGAACAGATAAACTTTGCACAGATAAATGGCCCAATGGAAACCCCAAGTATTGGGGAGCTGAAAATAGAGTGTTTAAGGGGAATTTCTGACCACAGGAACAGGACCCAACTACAAGAGTGTCATGGCAACAAAATGATACTTACCAGGTACAGGAGCTACATCTGTAGATACCTAACCACAAGAGGCCCATGGTAGTGGATTGACATATATGATAATAAGTTAAGATCATTGATATACGAACCTATAGGAGAAGGACACACCAAAATTAGTAAGGTGAGGATATACATATAAGGAAAAAGGGAAATATCCCTACTGAATATGCATCAAACATAGCTTTGTCAGCATATCATATTATAAAAATTGCATCCCAGCCTAAGGGTAGTAGGAGAAGGAAATGTAGTCCTTGGGATGTGCCAGAATGATGGCCATGGGTGATGAGGGAGAAGGTGATGGTGATGAGGAAGATGATGGCTAACATTTCAGATTGTTCCACAACGAATAGTGGGAGTATATGGATGTGCCGATGTACATTCTGTGATATCCCTGTCTATCTTACTGAGTTGGGGTGTTTGTGACTGTGCTAAATGTAAATACAAAAGAGTTCCTATAGTGTGTGTGTTCTAACTGTGCACATGGGGGTTCCCAACTATATTATAATTTGAATAATACTGGGCCTGATCTTGGGACAAGATCCTGTCAACCCTCAAAGTGATAACTGGGGATTCTTAAGTAATCAATGGACTTAATACATAAACTACAGTTCAGGCAGGGCCAGCTTTAGGCTGATTCAGCCGATTCAGCTGAATTGGGCCCCACGCTAAGAGGGCCCCGCACCGCAGCTCTCCACTCCACCCCCAGCTCACTTCCCCCTCCTCCCCTCCCCTGAACGCTCCACCCCCTGCTCCTCCCTCTCCCCTGCTTCCCGCGAATCAGAGGTTCGGGGGAAGTCTGAAAAGAAGCAGGGGCAGGCAGGCAGCACCAGGTAAGCTGGGGTGGCGGGGGGCACGAGAAGGGCTCCGGGGAGGCGCGGCCCAGTCCAGCCTCGGTTCCGGTCGAGTGTGCCGGCCCCAGCGGCTCCGGCCCGGCTCGGCTCCAGCCTGGCCCCCTTGGCTCGGGTCCGGCCTGGCCTGGCTCCCACGGCTCGGGTCCAGCTCGGCTCGGGCCCGGCCCCCGCGGTGCGGCGCGGCTTGGCTCGGGTCCGGCCCGGCCCCCGCAGCTTGGCTTGGCTCGGGTCCGGCCTGGCCCGGCCCGGCCCCCGCGGCGTGGCTCCGGCCCCCTGGCCCAGCCGCTGAGCGGCTCCGGGCCGGACCCAAGCGGCGACCCCGGCCGGAGTGCACCTCGATTCCTGGGAGCGGGGCTTGCCGCAAGCCCCGCCC